AAGAAACTGTTTTTGTTATCAAAATTCAGTACAGGTAACGGCCAAGTATGGAACACCATACTGGGTCAGAAGTAACCACTAACGGAGAGGGAAGTGGCGGAGATGCAGCGGCGGCTGGCCCACAATTTCCCTTGAGGGTAATTGCACTTGTGGAGGGTCACGGCGAAAATGTCGCAGGCACGCCTTCAGGGCCATTTGGTTACGTCACGATGATTGAGAGGGGGGAAGATCCAAACAAAGGTCTGCAGACCCTTCCCATGATGCGAAATTCCAGTATTGCTTATGAGGTTGCGGGTGAATCTCTGAGGAGATATCGGGCTTCCGCCTCCGCTGCAATTGTGACAGAGACGCACAGACTTGTGGTTCCTTTTCAGGTCATCAAAGAGAATGGCCACACCGTATCCACCGTACTTCATTCAGAGGACGACAAAGTGGCCTTAAAGCTACACAGTGGGGCGAGTGCTGAGGGCTGCGGAGATCCCGCCATCGCACCGTGGGAAAATGGAAGGATGCTCATGATTACTCCCTGCGACGTTGGCCACCGCAGAGTGTACGAGTTCGCTGAGGACGGGGGTACATGGACGGAGGCTCTCGGGACACTCTCACGTGTGTGGGGGAACTCATGGAAACGAACTGGTCCCGGTGTCCGAGGTGACGTCATTACTCTCACCATTGGGGAAAAGAAGGTAATGCTTTTTGCGCACCCGCTGCAGCTTGGTGCAGGGACCAATGATGTGACGGGCTCGCTTCACCTGTGGCTCACAGACGCCAAGAAACATATTTTTGACGTTGGGCCGATATCAGAGGTTGGCGAGGGTGTTGGTGCCACTTCTCTGTTGTACAAAAGTGAACAATTGTCCTTGCTTTACGAGAGCGGCGAAAACACGTCCCGCAGCCTCGTTTTCACTTCCCTCAGTGCGCAGTTGGCGCGGATAAAGGAGGTGGTGAAGACTTGGGAAGAGGTGGACCAACGTGTCGGGAAACTGTGTCCTTCTCCGAGCGGGGAAAAGGCGGCAGCGCCCACGAGATCCTGCGACGCCGCGGTGCTCACAGAGGGCCTGGTTGGGTATTGGTCCGGCAACGTATCTGGCAGCCAATGGCAAGACGAGTACCTCTGTGTCAACGCAGCAGTAAAGGATGGTGCAAAAACGAATGACAATGGTGTGGCGTTCCGAGGGCGCGGCGCCGGAGCACAGTGGCCTGTTGGTAAGCAGGGGCCGAATCAATTGTACCACTTTGCAAACTACAACTTCACTCTGCTGGCGGTGGTGACCATTCACAAGGTTCCAAAGGGAGGCAGCGGCATTCCCCTAATGGGTGTGAAGTTGAATGGGCCTGCAAGTGCAAGCCTCGTGGAGCTGCTGTACGACGAAAGCCAAAGATGGAAAGTGGTGTACAAGAATGAGGCAAAACAAACGCAGGAAAAATCTTGGGAACCAAATACACATCAATACCAAGTGGCACTGACGCTACAAAACGGCAGGCCGCCCTGTACGTTGACGGGAAGCCTTTGGTTACTGAAGGTGATGAGGTTCAAAGGGACACAAAGAAGGAAATTTCACATCTCTACATTGGGGGTTTGGGAAGCGACACAGAAGTTGAGGAAAGCGCCAAGGAGAGAGATGTCACGGTGCGCAACGTTCTTCTGTACAACCGTCCACTGAGTCCCACCGAGCTGGCGGGTCTGATAAGCAAACAGGACACAGTTCCATTTGTGCTTACAAAAACAACTGTACGGCCCGCTGGCAAGGAGCCCACGACGCATACCAATACAGCGAAAAAAGTTGCCAAGAAAGTGCAACTGGCGGATGCCAGTGTGTATTTGCATTTGTGCAGAGTGCTGCTGCTGATATTGTTGGGATTGTGGGCGTTTACCGCTTTGTGAGCAATGCGCAGCTTAAACGTGGGTAGGTCTATTCTTCCTCTTGGAATAAATTATAATTTACTGAAGGGCGTTTTTCTTGTTTTTTTTTACTTTTCTTCATTTCGCTTTGTGTGTGTGCGCCTCTCAATATAATTTCTATGGGACCTTTTTTTTGTTTTTGCTGTTCACCCGTTCCTTGGTGCACGCTTCCCATGAAAGGTTGGCGGTAGCCTATGCAAGTTTGCTTTTGTCTTCCATGCACGAAAACAACGGCGGTCTGTGCTGTGCAAAGGTTGTTCGCATAGAGGGACATGAAACCGCAACGCGACATGCTGAAACCCCAGCGAATTCCAAGTGCCGCGTGAACAGGAGAAGGGACAAACTGGAGTGAAGGGAAAACATCATTTTCCATACACCGACGTATACGTGCAATTTTTTTCTAACCAAGAGAACAAACAAGAGGGTGCTTTTAATTTTCCACATAAAAACATCATGAGGGACGGTTTTTTTAAAAATTAATATATATATTGTTATTATTATTATTATTGTGGGGGGGGGGAGTATTGGTGGGAATTCAAGCATTAGTGAGGACGTTGGTTTTTATTTTGTTTATATTGGCATCTCTCCTCTGGCTTACCGCTCACGCAGCGGTGCCGCATTAATTTTCACCAGCCCTCCTTGTCTTTCCTTCCTTCCTGCATCCCTGCAGTGGGCTTGTATTTCTGCGTACTCATCTTCTTTACCCTTGCCTTTTTTTTTTGCGTAGCTGCAGACACACACACAACCACATGGTATATATATTGCGGGGCACGTGAATGCTCCTTTCGTAGCCGGGGGTGCTGGCAGTTGCGCTTGGCGACCTCTGCTGCCTCCTTCCGTGCCTGTGAAAGAAAATAATAGGCAGAAGGAGAAAGTGAGGGAAGGGAGTGCGCCGAGGCTCACTCTCTTTTTTTCCTTGCGGGTGCAGGGCGCTGCTTGTGTGTGGGGGTGTCTTGCCTTCCAGTGCGGCGCCGTCAGCTGCAGCGACGCGGCAGGGAGTGCAGGACCCCTCTTGTCTGCTGCTGCCGCCTTCGCCGGCTGCGCCCCGTGCGGCCGCGTCGCGTG